AAAAAAAAAAAAAAAAAGAAAAAGAAAAAAAAAAAAGGCAGTTTGTAATTCGGCTCTTAGGTGTCAGTGTTTCCGGTTTGACCTCCCAGTCTTTTTGGTTGCTCTGGCCTTCTTTCTCTATGGCTCTAGCTGGCTCCAGGACTATGTCTTCTGGCTCCAATCCCTTGTTTCCAGAAGGCAAATTCCCCCTACAATTTCCCCGGCTATGCCCAACTGGGCAGTTCTTCTCTAGTATTCAGAAGCAAGGGGATGAATGGGAACCGGTGCCAAGGTGTCCAGATGTTCCGCCCTTGGCGGGACAGCCGCTATTCTTAACACACTGTCCCTTGTCCCCTGGCGTTTTAAAAAAAAGCCCCTCTTCTGGGGGGGATTACTTCAAACCCAGCACTAGGTGTCGCTGTAGCCTTCTCTGGGCTCCGCTCCGCCTCCGCGGGCTGTAGTTCGCGCACCCGTCTACAGTGGAGGCAGGGCTGGAGCTCCCCGGCTACCGTAGCAGAGGCAAGCCGGAGCTCCCCGGCTGCCGTAGTGGAGGCGGGGCCGGAGCTCGCCGCCGCGGAACCCAGATCCCTTAGGCTATCCCCGCAAACTCTGACCTTTCCGTGGGTGACTGAAGATCTCCCCGGAATCCACGTGTCTGCGCAGCTCTGGGAGTCTCAGCTGCTCGATGGACCTCCGGGCTGTGCGTTTTCCAAGCCTCAGAGAAGCTCTTTCCTTCCTGGCAAGACAATGCAGCCCTTCCTCCACGCCCGCAGCCCACCGCACGCTGCCTCCGCTGCCCCCGCCGCTGCTGCTGCTGCTGCTGCTGCTGCTGCTGCTGCTGCTGCTGCTGCCGCGGCCGTCCTGGCCACTTGGTCAGGAAATCCTGTCCAGCGGACTCTCCCTTACCCTCCTTGAGAGCTCCGCTGTCCCTTAGCTGCCAATCAACTCTCCCTGAGCGACTCAGAAGCCCCCTTTATCCTTTCTGGGACCAGAGTCAGAATAGGTCCGACTGTTCGGTCGCCATCTTCAAGCTCCGCCCCCAAATAAGGTTTTTTTTTGTGTTTTTTTTTTTTTAAAAAGGAGAATGTAAAGTAAGCATATTTAATATTTTTAAAGAAATATAATAGGGAATTGAAACATAAATCAGAAACGAATCTAATCAATCAACAGAATGAAAAGGAACTTACAAAATGGGTGGAAACAATTATAAACCATATTTCCAAAATATATGTATAAGGAACTCCAGCAACTCAATAGCAAAAAAAACTAATAAACCTATATAATGAAAAGGTAATATGCAAATTGACCATCACTCCAACACACACAAGATGTCTGCCTCCATGTGGTCAAAGATGGCCACCCCCATGTGGACACAAGATGGCTGCCACAAGTTGGCCAGCAGGGGAGGGCAGTTGTGGGCAATCAGGCCAGCAGGGGAGGGCAGTTGGGGGGACCAGGACTATAGGGAAGGGTAGTTGGGAGGACCAGGACTGGAGGGGAGGGCAGTTGGGGGGACCAGGACTGTAGGGGAAGACAGTTGGGGGGGGGGGGGCCAGGCCTACAGGAGAGGGCAGTTGGGAGGGACCAGGACTGCAGGGGAGGGTAGTTGGGGGGGGGACCAGATCTGCAAGGGAGGGCAGTTGGAGGTGATCAGGTCTGCAAGGGAAGGCAGTTGGGAGGGGCCAGACCTTCAGGGGAGGACAGTTCGGGGGACCCAGGCCTGCAGGGAGGACAGTTAGGGGCAATTGGGCCAGCAGTGGAGCAGTTAGGCATCAATCAGGCTGGCTGGGGAGTGGTTAGGGGGTGATCAGACTGGCAGGCAGAAGCAGTTAGGGACAATCAGGAAGGCAGGCAGGCGAGTGGTTGGGAACCAACAGTCCTGGATTGTGAGAGGGATGTCCCAGATTGAAGAGGGTGCAGTCTGGGCTGAGGGACACACACACACACACACACACACACACACCCCTCCTGTATGAATTTCATGCACAAGGTCTCTAGTTTGATTATAAAATGGATTAAGGACCTGAATAGACATTTCTCCAAAGGAGACTTTCAAATGACCAATAGATATGTAAAAAGATAATCAATGTCGCTAATCATCAGGGAAATACAAGTCAAAACCACAGTGAGATCACTTTATACCTGTTACAATGGCTGTTAAAAAAACCAACCAGACAGCCGAAACCGGTTTGGCTCAATGGATAGAGCGTCGGCTTGGGGACTGAAGGGTCCCAGGTTCGATTCCGGTCAAGGGCATGTGCCTTGGTTGTGGGCATATCCCCAGTAGGGGGTGTGCAAGAGGCAGCTGATCGATGACTCTCTCTCATCGATGTTTCTAACTCTCTATCTCCCTTCCTATCTGTACAAAATCAATAAAATATATTTAAAAAAAAAAACAACAAAAAAAAAACACAACCAGACAAAGACAACAGATGGTGAGGAAGTAGAGAAATTAGGACCCACACACTGTTGGTGGGAATGCAAAATGGAACTGTAACTATGGAAAACAGTATGAAGTTCCTCAAAAAATTCAAATTCAAACTACCAGCAATCCCACTTTTTATAAAAATATGTTTTGATTGATTTTTAGAGAGGAAAGGGAAGGGAGAGATAGAAACATTGATCAGCTGCCTCCTGCATGCCCCCTAATGGGTATTGAGCCCATAACCCCCTGACTGGGCATGGAATTTGTGAGGTCTTGGTGCATGGTTCGACATTCAGCTACTGAGCCACACCAGCTGGGTAGCAATTCCATTTCTGAGTATTTACCTAAAAGAACTGAAATCAGAATCTTGAAAAGATATGCACATTCCCATGTTCATTGCAGCATGTTCACAATAGCCAAGATTGAAAAAAAGCTAAATATCCATAGACAGATGAATGAGGGGCAAATGTGTTATATACATACAATGGAATATTATTCAGTCTTAAAAAAGAAGGAAATTCTGCAATATGTAACAATATAAAAGAATCTTGAGAACATTATGCTAAGTGAAATAACCAGTCACAGAAGGACAAACACTGCATGATTCCACTTATATGAGGTTTCTAAAATAGTCACATTCATGGAAACAAAAGAATAGACTTGTGGTTGCCAGGGGTTGGAGAGATGGGGAAACGGGAAGCTGCTAATCAATGGATATACAATTTCAGTTACGCATTATGAATTCATTCTAGAGATTTGATGTACCTTATGTTTATAGATAACAATATTTTATACTTAAAAATCAGCTAAGAGGATAGATCTTATATTAAGTGTTCTTACCACAATAAATAAAGAAGTTAAAAGAACTGAAACTACAAAAATAATCAGGCAGATTTAAAAAAGAACTGAACAGAACTTCTAGAAATGAAGATATTTAATAGATAGGTCCAGGGGTGGGGAACGTCTGGCCTGCAGGCTGCTTAAGGTTCACGAAATTGTTTGGTCTGGTCCTGTCAAGGCATTAGGGGTGAGTTAATTAAATGTTAATTAAATGTAGAAAGCTAATTTTTAAGTAGGTAATTTTGTATGGTCCACAAATGATGTTATAAATATCCAAATGGCCTTCAGCTGAAAAAGGTTCCCCACCTCTGGTTTAAACAGATGATTAGACATTACTGACATGTAAACTAGAAGATTGATCTGAAGAAAATACTAAGAATGCAGTACAGTGACAACAAAGGTAAACATAAAAGAGGTTAAGAGTGTTCATTGCCACATTATTCACGACAGGTAAGACTGGAAACCACCTATATGTCCAATGACATTGTGTACAGTAGAGTTGAAAGATGTGATATGTATCTAATCACATTCTAGGAGATAATCGAGAGAATAGGGAGAGGCAGTTTTCAGGGAAGTAATAGCTAAGAAATTTCCAGAACTGATGAAAAAAAGATGCTAATCCACAGATTTAGAAAGCCCAACATATCCTGATATCCATAACTAAAAGGAATACTGAAACTGTAGAACTTCAAGAACTGAGGAGATTTTGCCCAACTGATATGGCTTAGTGGTTGAGTACTGATTGATCTATGAACCAGGAGGTCATGATTCAATTCCTGGTCAAGGCACATGACCGGGTTGCAGGCTCGATCCCCAGTAGGAGGTGTGTAGGAGGCAGCCAATCAATGATTCTCTCATCGTTGATGTTTCATTTCTCCCTTTCCCTTCCTCTCTGAAATCAATAAAGATAAAAAATAAATAAATAAATAAAAATAAAAAAAGAACAGGTGATCTTAAAAGTTGACAGAGAACTTAATAGATTACGTATAAAAGAATGTTAGGCAGTTGGACTCATAGAAGTCTTTTGAAAAGCCAAAGATGATGATGATAATAATAATAATAATAATAATATCTTCAAAGCTCTGAGATGCAATAAGGAACCTGAGCAATAAAATAGTTAACACATGGGGTGTCTGAGCAAATTTTGACTGAATGAAGCAATAACAATTTCTAATGTTTCATTTATAGGGTTTTAAAAAACCCACAAGAAAGCAGTAAAGGAAGTGTATAATTAATTGCATAAGTTTGAGAAACCCTGACTTAGATAAGGACTTATTAACACTGTGGTGTATCTCCTAGTCTTTTTCTGATCACTACCTTTCATTGAGTGACTGTGCCAGGCACTCTTCTGAGCACCTGGCCATGCATTGTCCTCACAGAAACCTTTCGAAGTATCACTACCCTCTTTTTACAAGGGAGGCATCTGGCAGAGTGAGTCTGTAACTAGACAGGGGTGTCACTGCTGGTAAGTGGCAGACTCCAGATTCGAACCTAAGTCTGAGGCCTGTTTTTCTACAGCATCAGGCTGTTTTCCTATTGTTAGTAGACATGCCCTTCGCATAGAAAGTAGATCTTTCCTTGTAGGGACAGAGTTTCTCTCCTTATGCCAGAGAACACTGCTGACAAACCCGTCAAGCCCGTTCGGGATTTGACTTTACATCTGCAGTGTTCTCTGTGATGCAGGCATGTTTTTGTTTTTTGATTTGAAATTTCCATCCCCAAGATTTGCTCTGCTGAGTTTTTGCCTTTTCTCTAGGGCCGTGTGTAAGAAGTTTGGGTTGCATGTTAGTCGAATGATGCTAGCCTTCTTGGTTCTCAGCACTGGCATGTTCTGCTCATCTTCAGGTAAGTAAAGGAGCAAGTCAGGGCGTAACAGGATCACTGATATTTCACAGTTGCACTTAAAGAAGGATCTTATCCAGATACAGTTTATATTTGTATAACATTTCAATAATGTGCTGACCACTCTTACCTACACTCTCTTGATTGACCTTTACAACATTAAGATAAGTATTTTCTCATTGTTGTTGAAACTTAGATGAAATGACTTACTGAAAGTCAAATAATTGATAAGTGGTAGAGCTGTTTTCATGAGGTTGCTTTCTGTTACATATTATATTCTTTTTTGTCACTGTAAGGCTGAAAAGCATAGGCACCCCTGTTTTCCTTTGTTGTTAGGGGAAGGAAAATAATTTTATTATTTTGCTCAAGAAAGCTCTTGTGCCTAAAAAAACCTGTTCTTAGTGGTTCTTTTTTCTGCCCAATATTTGCAATGTGTCCTGTAAAGGTATACATCTTCTGTTGGGATTTTTTTTCATCCCAAGTTTGTAGAAATTGAGAATAAAAACCTTAATCTAGAGAGGTGGCTTTCAAACTATGCTGCCAGTGTACATTCGTGTTCTATGAGCTGAACCAAGGTAACCTGCCAAAATGCAGCCTGTTTCCAGTCTCCATATATAATTATTGCTTCTATAAATAATTATTTCAAGTTTAATTTCTGCTTGCTTGTACCAGAATCTAGTATACACATTAAATATGCACACAAATTGTATCCAGCTCAAAAGTATGTATTTTTTCTTCATTGACTATCAAAATCTGTGTTGTTTGGCAGACACCTCAGGGATCCACACCCAGGGGACTGAGAGCCAGTGTCCTAAATGAGACTGCTCTCCCTCTGAGCTGGCAGACACTCAGATTCCTCCATTCCCCTTACCTGTCCATTGGCAGCTGGAATCTGTAGCGATAGATAGCAGCCATTCTATTTAGCATTTATCTGTGAAGGTTGTATCTGATGTTTTTTAGTTACTTTGTTACTCCTAAAATTGATTCTTCTCTGAGGGAAATACTTGGGGTGTCTTTAATTTTATAACCTCAGTTGAGGATGTTAAGGCACAGGTCACTTCAAAGCATTCTTTGAGACAAAGCCTCATCTCTTTGCCAAGGTTCTTAAATCATGTTGCCCCTTTATTGTGGTTCTTGTTGGAGTCTGTACTGACCTTTCTTCCCCAGTGCTAGGTGAAGCAGCCCTCATACAGCAGGGAGATGCAGATCTGTTTTTGTGTAGAATTGGTGGAAACACTTTGATCAAGCCTCACTATTGCACAGAACCTGAGTACAGTCAGTCCCTGCTGTAGACACCAGCAAAGTAATGCTAGGTGGAAACAATTAGGGGGACACCTAAAGCCACACATCTATGTCGATGGATGCAGGATGGAAAGCAGGGCTGGCAACCAGCACTTGAGTGGATGCAGGATGCAAAGCAGTGTTACCATCCAACTTTTGGCCTCTGAGAAGATTTCCTAGAACCGTGGTCGGCAAACTGCGGCTGGCGAGCCACATGCGGCTCTTTGCCCCTTAATTGTGGCTCTTCTACTAAATACCACGCCCTGGGCGAGTCTATTTTGAAGAAGCGGTGTTAGAAGTTTAAGTTTAAAAAATTTGGCTCTCAAAAGAAATTTCAGTTGTTGTACTGTTGATATTTGGCTTTGTTGACTAAGGAGTTTGCTGACCACTGTCCTAGAATTTCTATAGGGAACAGATTAGTACTTGAATAGAAGACTGTCAGAAGATAAACTTCTCCAGAAATAGATTGTCAGCAGTGGTTCTAAGTTTCATGAAGCATATTCACTGCCTGGAAATATAACCTGGGTTATACATGAGGAACCTGGAATTCTGTATGTTTTAGATTTGGGTATAGGCCGGGAGAGGAATGGCATGGTTGGTATTGTATAACTGGGCAATGTGTTGGTACCTAAAAAACAGGAGTGAGAAAATAAGAAAAACATTGCATTTCTTTTTTTAAAAGGCGTATCACTCTGTGCCCACTTCTAATATAACATTGCTCAAAATATATTTCTGGTTATTGATATTTCGTAATATAGGTAAATTTTTAATAATTGATACTTAATAAATCTCAAACTCTTGTCCCTGTCCCCCCTTTTCCCATGTCTTTACTCTTGCAGCATTTCTTCCTAGTAGTTTCTGTATGTATACTACATTGATAGCCATGACTGGCTGGTATATGGACAAAACTGCCATTGCTGTGCTTGGAGTAGCAGCTGGGGCCATCATTGGCTGGCCATTCAGTGTGGCTCTTGGGTAAGAAACTAACACAACTCATCTCCCTTGTATCAGTGGGCATAGAGTATACCTTAATGTTAGGTTATCACCATATTCTCTGGGTAGGATCTAAAGTTAGAGGATTTATTTGGATCTACAAAGACTGGAAAATGAAAGAATATTTCTCTTGGTGCTCATTGTTTTGATTATCCTAATAAAAATAGTAACTGTTAAGCATCTGCTGTGTGTTAGACACTGCTAAACCACTTACAAACTTTATTCCTAAACCTTCTAACAACTCTGCAGCAGAGTCAATTATTAGTGCTTTGTAAGTGAAAAAGTAGAGTCCAAGAGATTGAGTAATTTGCCTTTAAGATTGTTTGCTTTTGGGTCCAGGCACTTCTGACTGTAGCAGACATTTTTTCCACAGTGTACCACCGTAGGCTGTGTTTTTGTCACCAAGCTTGCAATCTGAGTTCCTTTCAGTCCTCCTTTCTTGCCCCCAGAATCATTTTTCTTAGTTACATAGTACCTGGCATTCCTTTTGTACTTTTTGATCCCACCACTCGGTCCTATTTGTGCTGCCTTAATTTACTGACTGGATCACTAGTAATTTAGAAAAAAAATTAGTTTGATGTTAAGGTCATTATAGTAGTAGTAATAGTAGTAGTAGTATATCTTTATTATTTTTAAAAGTATTGAATTGTTTGAGGTAAAAAGAATTCTTAATTTTCTTCTCCCCTTATACAATCTAATAGTTTTTAGTTTTGTGTATATTTTTCCAGAAATTATCTTTGCATGAATAAATGCATACACACATATATAGACATACCAAAATTCTTAAAACAAATAGTATTATTCTATATTCATGTACATTTTCTATTATATAGAGATTTATTTTGTTCTTTATATCTATTGCATAGCATTCCGTTATATGGCTGTTCATAATTTATTTATTTATTTTTTTTTTTAAATCAATCTTTATTGTTCATATTATTACAAAGGTTCCTCATTTCTTCCCCCCTCCACCAGGTTCCCACCCCACCCTCCGTCCCCCCCCATCCCCCATTGTCCTCATCCATAGGTGCAGTTTATGTTCAGTCTCTTCTTCCCTCAATTTCCCCAATAGTAAATCCCTTTTCAGATAGTAAATCAGTTACTTAGCATTTTCACATATCAATAATACCTCCACATGCCCAATGATACACTTCACACAAAAGACATTTCCCACTAGGTCAACCAGCCTCATCCAGGCCCCACCCAAGGCACTCACAGATCAACACCCCAGCCCTATACTAACTTAACACATCCAGATCTAAGCCTTCATCACTTGATTCAGCAGACCCTCAAATTCCCACGCAAGTTTCCAGCCATGTCTGAGAAGCAGCCGTGGGGCAGGGGCAGGCAAGGAGCGAGCTGTTCTGGGCCTGGCTGCTCAGGGCCTGGCCTCTGTTGCTCTGGTTCATTCCACAACCAGCTGCTCCGGGTCTGGTCACTGCCACTCCCGATCTAGTTGCTCTGGACTTGGCTGCTGCTCCCCCGGGCCTGGCCGCTCCCAGCCTGGCAGCCGCTGCTCCGGGCCTGGCCTCACCAGCCCCGCCTGCTCCACCGGGCCTGGCCGCTCCCAGCCTGGCAGCCACTGCTCCGGGCCTGGCCGCACCCGACCCGCCTGCTCCCCCGGGCCTGGCCGCTCCCAGCCTGGCAGCCGCTGCTCCGGGCCTGGCCGCACCAGCCCCGCCTGCTCCCCCGGGCCTGGCCGCTCCCAGCCTGGCAGCCGCTGCTCCGGGCCTGGCCGCACCCGACCCGCCTGCTCCCCCGGGCCTGGCCGCTCCCAGCCTGGCAGCCGCTGCTCCGGGCCTGGCCGCACCCGACCCGCCTGCTCCCCCGGGCCTGGCCGCTCCCAGCCTGGCAGCCGCTGCTCCGGGCCTGGCCGCACCCGACCCACCTGCTCCCCCGGGCCTGGCCGCTCCCAGCCTGGCAGCCGCTGCTCCGGGCCTGGCCGCACCAGCCCCGCCTGCTCCCCCGGGCCTGGCCGCTCCCAGCCTGGCAGCCGCTGCTCCGGGCCTGGCCGCACCAGCCCCGCCTGCTCCCCCGGGCCTGGCCGTTCCCAGCCTGGCAGCCGCTGCTCCGGGCCTGGCCGCACCAGCCCCGCCTGCTCCCCCGGGCCTGGCCGCTCCCAGCCTGGCAGCCGCTGCTCCGGGCCTGGCCGCACCCGACCCGGCTGCTCCCCCGGGCCTGGCTGCTCCCAGCCTGGCAGCCGCTGCTCCGGGCCTGGCCGCACCTGACCCGGCTGCTCTGGGCCCGGCTGCCCCGGGCCCGGCCGCTCCGAGCCTGGCCACTCCCGACCTGGATGCTCTGGGCTTGGCTACTGCTGTTCTGGGTCTGGCTGCTCCCACCCCGGCTGCTCTGGGCCCGGCTTCTTCGGGCCCGGCCACTCTGGGTCTGGGTGTTCCTGGACTGGCCACCCTGGGCTTGGCCGCCTCCACCTCCTGCCTGGCTGCCACTGCCCCAGGTCTGGCTACTCCAGTGCTGGCAGTTGATGCTCTGGTTCTGGCTGCTGTTGTTCTGGGGCCTGGCCGTTGCTGCTCCGGGTCTGGCTGCCACTGCCTTGTGCCAGGCCACCCTAGGCCTGGCCACCGCTGTTCCAACATTCTGTCCTTTTTTTTTTCTTTTTAAAACGCATTTATGTTGCAATGTTGGCTGGTGAGTTGAGTTCTGACTTAGTCTTTGATTTTTCAAGATCTTCTTTGTATTCTTTCTTAAGTAATTTTACTATTTTTTTTGCTCTCACTTGATTTCTTCACATTGAGAACTTCTTTGGTTTCTTCCTCCTTGTCCTGGGAGCTCAGCAGGTTGGCCTGTGGCACCCCTTTGTTCTCCGCGGGCTCCTGTGCTGCTTCAGCCTGTTGCCGGGACAGCGCCGCCCAGGAAGCAGCCCCCGGCCTTGGCTCCATTGCCCGAGCTCAGTGGTCAAAGGCTCAGGGGCACCCACGCCCCCAGGGGCCCCGTGGCCCGCCTCCTTGCTGGTGCCCGGTTGGCTGGAGTCCGGCAGGGGCTTCCGCTCCCCTCCGTGTTCCCCCAGCCTAGAGCTTTTTTTTTCTCCTTCCCGCTAGGGGAGTCCAGCATCAGAGTCAACAGACTGTCCTCTGCGCGCAGTTTGCGCGAGTCCCACAGACTGTCCTCTGCGCGCAGTTTGCGCGAGTCCCGGGGGCCCGGCCTTTCGCCGCTCTCCCCTGACTCCACCTCACAGCCCCGTCTCCCTCTGCCTGAGCCTGGGTCCCCAGGGATTGGCCCAGAACTGAAGTTCGGAGCAGTCCGGACTGAGGCTCACTGCCGCCAGAGGCCTTGTTTCTTCCGGCGAGGGTAACCCAGCATCAGAGTCAACATTCAGTCCTCTGCGCGCATTGCGCGCGACTCCCGGGGCCCTGCCTTTCGCCGTTTTTCCGCCTCACGGCCCTGTCTCCTCCCGCCGGAGCCTGGGTCCCCAGGGTCTGGCCCATAACTGGGGCTCAGCGCTGCCGGTTCGGGGGGGCTCAGCGCTGCCGGTTCGGGGGTTCAGCCCAGGCTGGGGGTTTTATTTCCTTCCTGCTAGGGAAGGAAAGGCAGCTCCCCGCCCTCTCCTCCTCTCCGGCTGCGACCTCTCCGTGTGCGCGTGCGGGCGGGCAGGCGCGCGCAGCATGTCTCCGTACCTTAGGCTTTTTTTCAGCTCCTCTGATTTTCTTTCTGGTTTTCTTTTTCCTTCTTGTTGTAGAAATTTCAGTCAGTCGACTACCTGTAGCTCTGGGCAATGTCCACTCTACATTTTAGTTGTATTCCATTGAAATTGTTGTGTGCTGCCGCGGCTAGATGTCTACCCGAGCAGCCATCTTGGATCCTCCCAGAGATATTTTTGTTCATAATTTATTTAGCCTTTGTCTTTTTGGTAGACATTTAGTTTTCATTTTTTTGTTATTATACACATGCTTCAGTGAACATTTTTGTACATGTCTATATACTTGTGGAAATTTACCTATGGGATACATTTTTAGAAAGGGAGTTCTAAGACAGAGAATAGGCGTTTTAAATTTTCTTAATTGACTTTTAAAGGTTAGTATCTCCACCTTCAATCTTTTCTTTTATTCTGCGTATTCGCAAATTACTTTATTCTTTAAGGTTTTGTTTGTGGTTCTCTTTTATACTTTCTGCTATCTAGTCAATCATCTCTTCAGTTTCACTCATATATTCCTAGCTGCCTATTAGATCTCTCCATTCATATTTACGACATTGAACTCATTACCTCCCTTCCGTATCTGTTTCTTTACCTCTGATTCAATCTCAGCAAATGGTACTGTCTGTGCTGAGCCAGGAACCTGAAACTTATCTGTGACTCTCTTCTCTTTTCCATATCCTATTAATTTATTACACCTCTTAAGTATGTTTTGAATCTGGCTACTTTTCTTCACCTCTCACTGGTCCTGGATTACTTTACAGCCTCCTGAATGATCTTCCTGCCTCTAGTATTGATCCTTGTAAATCTAGTCTCCACATTCAAATGTTCCTTTTAGAGTTATCTTCCTAAAATGCAAATATGATTGTATCACTCCCTATTTTGTTCCAAACTATATAATAGCTCCCCCAATGCTCTGTGCCCCAGAGGTTGGCAACTTGAGTCCAATGAAGCAAATCTAGCTGGCCCGTTTTCATACAGTCCAAGAACTAACATTTTTACAAATTTAAAAGGTTGTTAAAAAACAACAACAACACACAGAAGAATATGCAACAGAGACTATACAAGGCTTGTAAAGCCTAAAACATATGCTGTCTGGTCTTTTAAATAAAAGTTTGCCAACACCTGTTTCACGGTGTGCAAATTCTAATATGACTCATAAAGCCCTTATATTTCCTCCCCTTTACCTCTCCAGCCTTCTTTTTTTAAGTTCCTCCATTTCTTTTTGCTCTCTGCTCCATCAATATTGAACTTTTGGAGTTCCCTAAGTACCTTGGTTGGTCTGCCTTTAGCCGAAATAAGTGATTTCAGGATCACAAGCAGTTAGCAGTCTACCATCATTTATTGAATCCTTTGTGCTAGGCATGGCTCATACTGTGAAAAATAAAACAATCATGGTTCTTGTTTTTTTGGAGCTTTCATTTTAGTAGGAAAAGCAGACATTGAACAGGAAATTAAAAATGTGGCCGGAACCGGTTTGGCTTAATGGCTAGAGCGTCGGCTTGGGAACTGAAGGGTCCTGGGTTCGATTCCGGTCAAGGGCATGTACCTTGGTTGCGGGCATATCCCCAGTATGGGGTGTGCAAGAGACAGCTGATCGATGACTCTCTCTCATCGATGTTTCTAACTCTCTATCTCTCTCCCTTCCTCTCTGTATAAAATCAATAAAATATATTTTTTTAAAAATGTGATGACTTATGTGTTACATGCAGTTGAGTCGGCTTTAATTCCAGCGAATGAGTGGTGTCCACAATGTCCTGACCTTAACAGCCCTGCTCAGCTCCTGTAGACTCATTCTATGGCTTCTATGGGGTTAACACATTTTCTGTCTGGTCCTCCACTTTTCTTGTTGTCTTTTATTTTCCCCAGCATTGTCTTTTCTAAAGAACCCTGTCTTACCAAAGGAGAACTATAGCACATGGAAATGTAACCATTGGGGAGGGAAAAATTGAAAACAAATGTTAATGCAAAATGTACGTAATAGAATGTGGAAATTCAAATGATAAAAGACAATGTTCTGTGACAATAAATTCTAAATAAGTCACAGAGATGTCTGGAGGAGGTGGGAATAGAGCCTATAGTTGACATTTGGGTGGGTTCTTGTGAATAGATTAATGTAGAGAGGGAATTCTTTGTGTTGGAGCATGGGTAAAGGCTCAGACTAGCGTCCTCGATTTGGAAGTCATGGATATGAAGGTGATTGTTCATGCAGCAAGAGGGGAAGCACCTACTGAGAAAATGAGTGCAAAAAAAACAAACAAACTTGTTTTGGGGAGCTGTCACCATAATTGGCCACTACCATGGGATAGGGGGAAAAAGAGGCAAGAAAGGAGTATTAGAGAAGAGTCCAAAAAAGAACAGGAGCTAGCGAGTCTAAAGAGGAAGGAACAGATGCTTTGTCAAAGTGCAGCAGATAGACAAAGGAGTGAGACTTGTGCAGAGCGAGATACTGGGTGTGGCCGAGGCCAGTCTTTACAGCTTGAGGCTAGACCTTACGGAAGAAATAGTGAGGGCAACATACACATTCCTTGCTTGAAGAACTTAAGTGAAAGGAAGAACAAATGGTATTGGAAGAGGGTATATCAGAATTGAAGTAGTTTGTAATAGGATATTGCTAAAATCTTAATATATCATGAAAGGGAGAGATGAGTATTTATTTGGCAGGATGGCTACAGAACAGTAGGCTACATTTACCTTATAATTAATATATTTTAAATGTCAATTAGGCTAAATAAGTATAAAACAGACCTCATTCCAGAAGTTCCATATTTATATTTCTTAGGCATCATGGGTGCATAGCACTCTGATGGGTCCTGAAGAGAACAGTGTATTTTTGAGAAGAAATCTTCTCCTGGACCACCTTTCTTCCTAAGTACAATTACTAGAGACATGTTATTCTCAGTTCTGTACAAGGTGTGTGAATCTGACCTGTCTATATTCTCTCTGAGTATTTAATCCCCACTTTCTGTTTCTCTGTTAAATAGTTTACCTGTTGCCTTTGACTTGCTGATCATGAAACACAGGTGGAAGACTTTCCTCCATTGGTCGCTGGTGGCTCTCATACTCTTTCTGGTGAGTTTTCTCTTTTCCTTGTTTTGTTCTAAAATTGTAATGACAGCAACTTCTTTTTTAAAATTTTAATTTAATTTAACTTAATTTATAGGGTAACATCTGTTTATAACATTATATAAGTTTCAGGTATACAATTTTGTAATACATCATCTGTATATTCCACTGTGTGGAAGCACCTTCTGATGTAGGAAAGAGAACATTAGGAGTTGATTCTGTTTTTTATTTTGAAGTTTGTCCTATTAGCATGTGAGAATGCTTCCAGAGCAAAACTCCACAATTGCTATGTATTTTCTCTCCTGTTTCAGGTGCCTGTGGTGGTCATCGACAGCTACTATTATGGGAAGTTGGTGATTGCACCACTCAACATTGTTTTGTATAATGTCTTTACTCCACATGGACCTGATCTTTATGGTAAGGCCTTATGAGATTGGGCAAGGATTAGGAGATTGCTTAATTTGTCTGGGCTTTGAAATTTTAATTCAGCTGACTTATTTGACCAAATATGGCATTTCTTTGCTGGTAATATTATTTTCTTATTTTAAAAATAAATGTTGCTCGGCCGGTGTGCTCAGTAGTTTGGCATTGACCTATGATCACAGTTTGATTCCAGTCAGGGCACATGCCAGGATTGTGGTTCAATCCCTCGTAGGGGGCATCAGGAGGCAGTAGATTGATGATTCTCTCTCATCCTTTATATTTCTACTAGAGGCCCGGTGCACAGGGATGTGTAGGGGGGTGTCCCTCAGCCCAGCCTGCATACTCTCCAATCTGGGACTCCTCAAGGGATGTCCGACTGCCGGGTTAGGCCCAATCTCACAATCCAGAACTGCTGGCTCCCGACTGCTCGCCTGCCTTCCTGATTGCGCCTAACCGCTTCTGCCTGTCAGCCTGATCACCCCCTAACCACTGCCCTGCCAGCCTGATTGATGTCTGACTGCTCCCCTGCCAGCCTGTTTGCCCCCAACTTCTCTCCTCTGCCAGCCTGGTCACCCCTAACTGACCTCCCCTGCAGGGTTGATTCACTTCCAACTTCCCTCCCTTGCAGGCCTGGTCCCTCTCAACTGCCCTCCCTTGTAAGCCTGGTGCCTCCCAACTGCTCTCCCTTGCTTGCCTGATCACTCACAACTGCCCTCCGTTGCAGGCCTGGTGCCTCCCAACTGCCCCCCCCTGCTGGCCATCTTGTGTGGCCATCTTGTGTCCATATGAGGGCAGGATTTTTGACCACATGGGGTCAGCCATATTGTGTGTCAGAGTGATGGTCAATCTGCATATTACTCTTTTATTTGATAGGATAGAGGCCTGGTGCATGGGTCGGGGCCAGCTGGTTTGCCCTGAAGGGTATCCGGATCAGGGTGGGGGTTCCCTTGGGGCATGGGACAGCCTGACCGAGGGGCCTGTGGTAGTTTGCAGGCCAGCCACGCCCCCTGATGACCCAAGCTGGAGGCCCTGGTATCTGGAATTTATTTACCTTCTACAATTGAAACTTTGTAGCCTGGAGTGGAGTCAAGCCTCCTGCTCTTCCATGGCTGGCAGCCATTTCTGTTTGGATTTGTTTACCTTCTATAATTGAAACTTTGTAGCAGAGGCCAAGGCAGGCCAGGGCTGTGGGAGCTTGGCTTCCTCCATCGCCGGGGGCAACCCACGCCTCCTGCTCTCTCCAGCTCCATGGCTGCCACCATTTTTGTTGGGATTTATTTATTTTCTATAATTGAAACTTTGTAGCCTTGAGTGGAGGCCTGGGCCACCAGGGTGTGTGGAAAGGTTGGCTTCCTCCATTGTCAGAGAAACCCAAGCCTCCTGCTTGCTCCGTGGCCATAGTCATCTTGGTTGGGTTAATTTGCATACTCTTTCCTGATTGGCTGGTGGGCATGGCTTGTGGATGTAGTGGAGTGGTGGTTAATTTGCATATCACTATTTTATTAGATAGGATTATGAGACATTCCAGACCTGAACATGTCTTTTGAGGTCAGGAAACGAAACAAAGTTTTCATAACTATTAATAGCTTCTGTTTATTTAATGCCTACTATATGTCAGAAAATTTACACATACTGTCTTCTTCCCCTTACAAAAGCTCTGTGATATCATTTATCCTTATTCCCAGATGAGGATAATGATGAAGAATTGGAGAGAGACTTGCCACATAGTTAAATAGGTGATCTTTCCACTAAAAATGACCTTTGCAAAACCCTGGAGTTTGGCTGAGATTTTATAGAATAGGCTTGCACAAAGGGAGTAATGGAAGATAAGATCCAGTCTACAAAATGGGTGAGAAGTTGCATCTATGAAGGTCTGATGTACTAGTTTGGCTTGCAGGGTGATCAGGAGCCCTACAGAGCTCGTGTCAGAGAGCCATGAGCACTGGCAGGCTCCTCCACCAGGAACGCTGCGCCAGACCTTGTTGAAGAAAGGATGTTTGGACTAGGGAAAGAATACTTGACATTTAGGAAAGGTAGAGTAGTGTAGACATAAAATTGCAAAGTCATAGGCAAAATATCTCTATGGAATCAATGATCAAGAGGTGAAATTTTGATGAGGGAAAAAATATTATCCTTGTAATGTTTCGAGTTCTCAGATGTTGATGTTGTAAGCATTTTTCTGTGGTGAGTGAAGAGTGGTACTCTCCGACTGGTACACAGGCCTAAGGAAGGCAGGGGAGGACGGGTACAAGAAATGCTTTTCCCTCAAAAGTAGTATAGTCTGCTCAACAGTGCCATTCTGTGGTTTAGGATATCCCAGCCTGTTTGTGTGTTTTATCAACATCTTTCAGACCACTGGACAAGACATTGCAGAAGGTGAAATGAAGGTGCTCTATTAGGAAACGCACAGTTTTCCATGCTTGCTGTAGCAGAGAATGAAGCCCCAGTGGAGTCTTTTGAGACCAATTTGGATTTAACTGCCAGCTGGAACGCTCTCTGAGCCTTCATTCTTTTTTGTTGAACACTGGTGGCTTTTTCCTCTTGGCGTTGCAAATTTGACATTTAATAAGGATGATTTACTATAATTTTCTTTTCTTTTTAAAAATATATTTTTATTGACTTCAGGGAGGTAGGGAGGGGGAGAGAGAGAGAAACATCATAACAAGAGAGGATCATTAATGAGTTGCCTCCTGCACACCCCAAGCTGGAGATCAAGCCCACAACCCAGGCATGTGCCCTGATGGGGAATTGAACTGTGACCTCTGGTTCGTAGATTGATGCTCAACCACTGAGCCACAATGGGGGGGCAAATTTTCTCCAGTTCTATAAAATTATAAGCCTACAAAGCAGTTCCCTGTTATTCAAACTATGGAACAGTAAACATCTTTTCTTCCAGCCTCTCTCAAGCTCACTTTAGCTCATTTGAATGAAAAGAAGTGACTTTTATAAAGAGGGAGGTTGGTGAGTCACTCCCTGCAGAGACCCTGCTTCCAGCCGAAGCTGGTTTGGCTCAGTGGTAGAGAGTTGGTCTGCGGACTAAAAGGTCCCAGGTTTGATTCCGGTAAGGGCATGTACATTGGTTGAGGGCACATCCCCAGTGGTGGGTGTGCAAGAGGCAGTTGGTCAATGTTTCTCTCTCATCGACGTTTCTAGCTATCTCTCTCCCTTCCTCTCTGTAAAAAATCAATAAAATATATTAAAAAAAAAAAAGAGAGAGAGACCCTGCTTCCAGCTTTCTTTCACCTTGCCTTTTGCATTAGTTCAATGCTTAGCTTGTCATTCTGATGCAATTTTTCTGCATAGTTCAGCTTTTATATTTTCTGAGCAGCAGCATTGAATATCTCCCTCGAGATAAAAGTTTTTACTCTTTTCTCTATTAAGGCAGATGTCTCATCAAGTAGTGGAGGACACTGGCTATCAGAAATCACTATTTCTGTCCTCTTTTGCTCTTGTTTTTAATACTGTTGTCACTTGAACCTTTCCCACTCTTGGCTTATCTCCCAATTTTTGCTCCATCTTTCATGGAAGTAACAGCCTATTATGAAATATTCACAGGCTGGCTGTGAACTTGTGTCCATGATCACTGAACACATAAAAATAGAATTTAGCAACTTAATACTTTTAACTGTGCATCTCAGAGTTAATATTATCTAGGTAAAAATATAGTCAACCCTATAGGAGGGTATAGTAAGTTGTAGTAGAGGCAGATATTTTCTTGAAACTGTTAGGGTCACTGAAGAGGGAACACAAGGCACCAAAGGTGGTAAAGAATTATAAATTTTTTAGATAATCTGGGAACCAGGTGGGCTGAGCCTACAAATGGCACCAGTACCCAGGGAAGGGCAGTCAGATTTTAAAGGACTCTAGAGGGGAATTCTCTGGGCGGGTCCAGTTCCTGAGCAAGTCCAGAGGGGAAAGTTAATGGTCTCAGTGATAAATGGAATGGTGAGCTGAGGTTTTTTTCCTCGGGATTATGTCTCAGGATGCCAAAAAATGAACACTGTGGACCAGAAGATTTAAGCAAAAGTGTGGAAAATTTATTACAAGCAGATTCAGACTCCCCACATGGGGACGGGGGAGGGAGGAGGATGGTGGTGTCCAATAATGGGTGTCCGCTGAAGCCTTGTGGTCTAGGGGCATATATTTAAGATAACACAGGGTTGGACTTGCCTCCTTCCTTAGGGTACCTCACATCCCTCTTATTCCTCCCCTTAGTGTTAATAGTGTTATGGGTTTGGTTTCTAGTCTTATTTTGCTGTGCAAGCTGCAAAAGTGTCAGGTTTTTCTGACTGTTCTCTGCCTTCTGATTACCCTTTTAAGCAGTGCTGATTTCAGGAAATGGCTGTAGTGCAAGGCAGTGCCACAGCACAGTGATTAGAACCCGTGGTGTCACTCCCTGCCTGATTGAAGTAATTACACAGAGGGGAAGAGCAGATGGAATGCTCCCAAACATGCTTCTCATCATTTGGGTTTAAGGATTTTGAGTTAAAGAATCAAAGTTAATGTGAGTTAAGGCTTGTGTTTTTGGTCATTTTGTTTCATTCTTAATCTTTAAAACTTCTGGGTCTCTGACTGTTGTTTTTCTAAGGAAAATAGGTTTTGCTATTTACCAAACACAAGGTCCCCTGTATTCATGACTATAAAATAGTGGTTGAGCACATTAAGGGGAAAGATACTAGAATGTAAATGAGATGAACAGGTGAGAAGGAAATGGGAAAGGCCCCAATAGCTCAGTTCTGCAAGACTGCCCCTCCCCACCTCCCTTCAGATGCCAATGGGAAGTCCAGGTTGTCACCTGTACTTCTGACCCATTGGAAGTTCCAACAGCCCCCTCCTTAGGTTCAATTAATTGGTCAGAGCAGCTCACAGAACTCTGAGAAACATGTACATAGATTTACCAGTTTATTATAAAGAATACAGGTGAATAGCCAAATTCAAGAGATGCATAGATATATGAGGGAAGGGGCTTGGAGCCCCAATGCTATCCCCACACCATGTGCTCACCAACCTTTTGGATTTTTATGGAGGCTTCATTTAGTAGGCTTGATTGATTGATTGATTAAATCATTGGCCATTGGTGATTGAACTTTATTGCCAGCCCTTCTCTCCTGCCCTGAGGTCAGAGTTCAGGGATAGGACTGAAATTACTGACCTCCTAATCACAAGATAAGGTTCCTAAGTCCTGAACCTTAGGTTATTTAGGAGCTTTCCTAAGGTCTCCTAATTAACATAACAAAAGACACTTTATCACTCTCATCACTTAGGGAATCCCCAGGGCTTAAGAGTTCTGTACCTGGTAGGGGGATGAAGAACAAATACAGATTTCTTCCCCCCCCCCCCTTTTTTTTTTTTTAAATAAATCTTTATTATTCAGATTATTACAGATGTTCCTCTTTTTCCCCCCCAATAGCTCCCCTTCACCTCTCCACCATCTCCCCAACTGTCCTCATCCATAGGTGTACAATTTTTGTCTAGTCTCTTCCTTTTCCCCCACACTCTTTCCCCCCAAGAATTATAAGTCTACTGCCTTTCTATGCCCCTGATTCTATTATACTCACCAGTTTATTCTGCTAATCAGATTTTTTATTCACTTGATTTTTAGATTCACTTGTTGATAGATATGTATTTGTTGTTCATAATTTTTATCTTTACCTTTTTCTTCTTCCTCCTCTTCTTAAAGAACACCTTTTAGCATTTCATATAATACTGGTTTGGCAGTGATGAACTCCTTTAGCTTTTTCTTATCTGTGAAGCTCTTTATCTGAACTTCAATTCTGAATGATAGCTTTGCTGGCTAGAGTAATCTTGGTTGTAGGTTCTTGCTATTCATCACTTTGAATATTTCTTGCCACTCCCTTCTGGCCTGCATAGTTGAGAAATCAGCTGACAGTTGTATGGGTACTCCCTTGTAGGTAACTGTTTTTCTCTTGCTGCTTTTAATATTGTCTCTTTGTCTTTTGCTCTTGGCATTTTAATTATGATGTCTTGGTGTTGTCCTCTTTGGATTCCTCTTGTTCAGGGTTCTCTGCGCTTCCTGGACTCATAAGTCTATTTCTTTCACCAGATAAGGGAAGTTTTCTGTCATTATTTCTTCAAATAGGTTTTCAATATCTTGTTCATGCTCTTCTTCTGGCACCCCCATAATTTGGATGTTGGTATGCTGGAAGTTGTCTCAGAGACTTCTTACACTATCTTCATATTTTTGGATTATTTTTTCTTTTCTGGATGGGTGTGTTTTGCTACTTCGTATTTCAAATGTTTGACTTGATTCTTGGGGTCCTCTAATCTGCTTTTGGAACTATTATTATTCTTTATTTTATTGGAACTATATTATTCTTTATTTCAGTCAGTATATGCTTAATTTCTAATTGGTCCTTTTTCATATCTTCCAGGGTCTCACTAAATTTATTGGCAGCTTCTAGAAGATTCTTGAAAAATCTTATAGTTGTGGTTTTGAACTCTATATCCAGTAGTTTGCTTTCCTCCATTTCTGTCATTTGTGACCTGTTTCTTTTTGGGCTGCTTCCCTGTATTGATAGAGTGGCTTTGTGTGCTAGGTGTCCTATAGGGCCCAGTGGCTCAGCTTCCCCAGTTACCTGAGGTGGACACACTTGATGCACCCCCTTTGTGTGCACAGTCTTGTTGTAGTTAAGCCTTTCTTGTTGTTGGTATCACTGGGAGGAATTGACCTCCAGGCCAATTGGCTGTGAGGATCAGCTGTGTCTATGCTGGGAGAACTTCTGTGCTGGAGAAATCCTTATGGGGCAAGACTTGCTTCAGTGGGGCTTTGGTGCTCACTGAGTCTGCCCCTTGAATGTGTCCCTTATGGATCTGAGGAGTTGTAATCTGGATGGTCCCTCTCTGACCACTAGGTACACTGGCTCTTGGATCTCCAAGGAGGTGCAAATTTAGCTTCTGCCTGAGGCCACCCAGCAGGAACTACCAAGAGATCTTCAGATTCCTCTTCTTTGTTTGGGGTTTGGAGGAGCCCAGATGAGGCCCAGCTGTGAAGCAATGCAAGCTGCTGTGGGGCCTTGGGCTTTCTTTTGGAGATTCTGGGGCTCCCTGACCCAGCTGCAGTTTGTTAGGTAATTTTAGATTGCAATTCATATGCAAAAGCCTCTGCAGGCAGCTTGGATTGGGCAGGGTCTCAGGAGATCAGTAGGGTGGAATAAACAGCTATGGCTGATCCTCAGCCCTGCCTTAAGAAGGTCTCAGTGTCCCATGGTAATCACTGCAAGCACCTCTAAGAGTAAGCCGCCCTCAAGTTCCACCCTAAGCCAGATAGTTCAGTTTCTCCCCATATGAGTCTGGGTTCCCAGAATCTCGCCCGGAACTGGAGTTCGGAGCAGTCAGGAACTTGTGTCTCCCTCCTGATCGAAAAAGACAACCACATACTCAGTTGCCAGCCCTTTCTGTATGTGTGTATCTCTGCACTTTACTTCCGCAGCTCCTCTGAGTCTCAGTGTGCTTCTCTCTTTCCTTCTAGTTGTAGAATTTCCAAAAGCCAGCCTTCCTGTGGTTCTGGATGATGTCCATTTTGTCTTTTAGTTGCAGTTTTGAAGTGGTTGTGTGAGGCAGCAATTTCAGGTGTTTACCTATGTTGCCATCTTAGTTTCTCACCAAATATAGATTTCTTATACATCAGAGTATCACTACTAACCTATTTAAATTATTTTGTTGTTCTGAAAAAGTATTAGTCCTATTTGGGCATGGATATTTGAATTTGATATACTGATCAAATTTGAATTTGATAGCTTAATATTTTGAAACTTGATTTCTGTCTAAGTCATTACCAATCCTATTGACTTCCCATCTTCTGTTCTGTGAGCATGAAAAGAGTGGGCTGTGGAATATCTTTAACTCAGGGCATTGGATCATCAGCATTACTCAAATGAAGATTCGTATGAGCCAACACTGCAATAGGTGTCAGAGGCACCCACTAATGATTCCTTATGTCTTTGTCCCCCTCAGGTACAGAACCGTGGTATTTCTATTTAATTAATGGATTTCTGAATTTTAATGTAGTCTTTGCTTTGGCTCTCCTGGTCTTACCACTGACTTCTCTTATGGAATACCTGCTGCAGAGATTTCATGGTGAGTGGCACAAGGGCTGATAGGTTTTCTGGGAGGGAAGAGCAGGTAACAATGTAGACCAAGAAATGAAAAATTGACAAAGATTTAAAAAAAATTTTTATTCTATTTATTCTGCTTATTTATTCTCCATTTTCTCCCTATGGAAATGGTTGATTTATTTAATTTTCTATCTGTATGTGTGGATTATTTAGGCCCCTGTGAAGATATGGTGAATAATTGCAAATTAAGTTGACCGGGAGTCAACTTAAGTATTCCTTAAGTGAGGCAGTCAGTATAATTTACAGAACCATCCAGGGAGCCAAAAAAGCTTATAAAATCTCAGAAGATAAGCCTATTTGATTAAGACTTATGTTTTTTAAAGAAGTGTTAATTTGGTAGATTGTTTAAGATAATCAGTGCTAGAGGTAAACATTCTTTGGGAAATTACCTCCACCCAAAAACTGGAAACTAAGCCATATAGGGAGTCCCCCAACGTAGATACTGAAGTGAGAGAAGCTTTGAACTCTGCTCTTTTGTCCCATTTTGCTTCTCTGCCTTATTGCGAAAAATTCATCTGTTTTGCTTGCTCTACTTCACAGCCAGCATTTTCTCAAGTCGTGCTGACGCTATCTAGTGCTATGGTTGCTCTGATGGAAAACTGATTTGAGCAGAAATTAAAATGTGATTTGGAAAGACTTTTATTTCAGACTTTTCAGTCTGATTTGGTTGCCATGTGATTGATCCCTCCACTCCGCCCTTATTCTGCTTTTCTACTATTAATGGTTTAGGAAGAGTTTACTGTACTATAGTATTAGAATAGGAAAGCAGCCTTCATAGTCACTTTTGTGTGAGGACTTTTGTTTTAATATAACCATAATGCCATAACAAAATTAAGAAATCGCTCAATATCATCAAAAATCAATTTGATACTCAGATTTTCTTTATTATCTGAAAAATAGCTTTTTACAGTTAGTTTGTTTAAAGGAGGATCTAAACCCAAGTCATATACTGAATTTAGTATTATGTTTCTTAAGCTTTTTAAAAGGTTCCTCACTCTCAACTATTTTTTCCTGAAGATTTCTAAGGAAATTAGATCGTTCATATTGATATTGTAGTGTTTCACATATGTATTTTTATTATTACAAAAATAATTCATGCTTGCGGAAAATTTGGAAATGCTTGTAATGTACATATAAAAACAGTATCATAAGCTGTTTTCTACAGTATGAATTCAATTTTGGTTTAAAAGTGTATAATGACACACATATCTACCTACCCTGTTTCCCCGAAAATAAGACAGTGTCTTATATTAATTTTTTCTCCCAAAGTTGCGCTAGGTCTTATTTTCAGAGTTTGTCTTATCTTTACATGCGCTAGGTCTTATTTTCGGAGGATGTCTTATTTTCGGGGAAACACAGTAGTAAGAAAATAAGTGGCTTCTGTTTTTATTTATACTTCTTTGTATACTTTATAATAGGAACAGTACTTTTTACAAAGAAAAGACAGAAAAATATAAATGATCCATTTATTCCATCTTGCAGTGCAACTGTGGTTATGATTTTGCATATTTTATGGGGTACATTTCAAATTTTTAGGCTATATTAAAAATATATATTTGTTTGCTTTTGAGATACAGAAGAGAAAAAGATTGTTTACTTGTACTTATTTTTTTTTTAATTAAGAAAATTTCAACCTAAACTATTTCCTGGGAAGGGATAAATTCTAAATTATAACCTGAAATCTCATGATAATATCTTAGAGTTGAAAGTTTAAAGATAAGTTTGTTTAAAAATTTTTATCCCTGAGGAGTTTCTTCAAAAATACAGATAAATTAGGAGTGCTAAATTAGGCATCCTAAGGTAGATTTAAAAATTTTTTTAAATCATATTTTAAAGTTATTTTTAAGTTGGATCTTAAGGACAATCATTTCATCTGAACTTGCTCATTACAGACAAAATGGACATTAGGGGGTGCTATCTGCCTACTATTTGCCTGTGATCCTATGTACTGCTCATTATCATTAACAGAAGCCCAGGAGATACCTTCAGGCTTATCTCTAAGGGTTCATGTACCCACCAACAGCAACTTTCCAGCATGTGCTTGGTCTTAGTGTTCATTAAATTCCTTTAATTCTTTTCACATGCTTTAAGTACGCTTTGTTTTCAATTTTGGGATTCAAAGTAGATGGATATTTGCAGAAGAGAAAAGAAAACTTGATCAGTAAACTTCCTTTAAGATTTGCTTAGAAACAAACTCTTTATTTGTGGTTTGACAAAAACAGTGATGTGTTTAAGAATTCTGCTCTCCCCCCCCTCCTTAATATGTAGCTATTTAAACAGACCACTGGTGTATAAGTAAGAAGAGTAATATATTTAAAAGAACATAGGAATTAAAACCCAAAAAATGAGTTTATGTTGCTTTTGGTTAATCTCAGGAACCTTCAGTCTGAGTGGCAGGACCATTACAAAGAGAAGGCTTTCCCTTCATTAGTGTGCAGGTGAAGCTCTGTTGCCCATTCATCTGACTTCCGTTTATCTAGCCAGAACCAGCATTGTGCCTCCCTTTCCATGATGGATCTCCTGGGAGAGCTAAAGAGTATATACCTCTTTTTACTGAACTCCTTTACACCTCGGAGAAAGTGTGAACACAAGAAGTGAAACATTTTATGGGGTGCCCTAGAGCATATTTTCATGTTTGAGATCAAGAGAACATTGAAACTCAATATGTTGAAAGGCGGATATTTTTCTGTGTTTTACAGTCCAGAATTTAGGCCACCCATATTGGCTTACCTTGGCTCCAATGTATATTTGGTTTATAATTTTCTTCACCCAGCCTCACAAAGAAGAGCGATTTCTTTTCCCTGTTTACCCACTTATATGTCTCTGTGGCGCTGTGGCCCTTTCTGCACTTCAGGTGAGTTTCAGGGATATATCTGCTTCATTCTGCGTCACTTTTCGAATTGTCCCTAAAGCTTACCGGCAAATTACAAAATGCTTTCACTGAAGATTTTTTACCATACACTAAACCTGATACAGGTTATGTTATTAAGGCTTTTTGTAGTCCCCGCTTAGCTGTTGCATGTACTCTTTTTTTGCTGATTACATATTTGCAGTGTTGACTTGTGGGTTATCGGTCTCTGTTGCCAATAAGAATCCAAGTATTTTTATTTTATTATTTTTTTTTAATTTTATTTATTTATTTTTATTAAATTATTATCTGTGTACATATACCATTGCCTTCCTCCTCCCTCCCATTCATACCTTCCCTCCCCAGAGTTTTGTGTCCATTGGTTGTACTTATATGCATGTAAACAAGTCCTTCGGTTGATCTCTTATCTACCCCAGATCTCCCTACCCTCCCCGCTGTAATTTGACAGTCTGCTTGTTGCTTTACTGTCTCTATATCTATCTTTTGGTTCTTCAGTTTATAATGTTCTTTATCATCCATAAATGAGTGAGGTCATATGATGTTTCTCTTTCATTGACTGGCTTATTTCACTCAGCATGATGTTCTCCAATTCCATCCAGGTTGCTGCAAATGATGAGAATTTCCTCTTTTTTATGGCAGCATAATATTCCATTGTTGTAGATGTACCATAGTTTTTTGATCCAATCATCTGCAGGTGGGCAGAATCCAAGTATTTTTAAATCATTGTATGGGCCTCCCATAGAATTAGCAGAGCTAATAGAATGTCTGCTCTTCAACAGTGAGATTAGAATAAAACTTGCTCAACTGTTTGAAATAACATTAGGCAGTTAAATCCAGTTTAGCTCAATTCCCTGTTAGAATTAATCTTGAATATCTATTTATGGCCTCAGAAGCCTCCAGATTCTTTTTTGACCACTGCTACCTTTTGCAAGTGACAGGAAAGAATAATTAGAGTAAGAGAGGTTTTCTCTTTAACAGATTTATGGAGATATAAACCATACAGTTTACCCATTTAAGGTATGTAATTCAGTGGTTTTTAGTATACCCACAAATATGTGGGACCATCAGCACAGTCAATTTTAGGACATTTGCATCACCTCAGAGAGTGTACTCTCACTGGTGTTACCCCTTTCTCATATCTCCCAGCCATAGCTACCATTCATCTACTTTATGTCTCTGTAGATTTGCCTAATCTAGACATTTCATACTTTTTAAAAAAATAAATTATTAGCATTTAAAGAACTAAAGAAATATCCAAATAATTTTCCTATGAAGCTACTGAGATTTCATTCTTGAGAAACCCTCTGGCCAGGCTGACCCTAAGATAGTTTTTATCTTAGAATTTGGAGTGGGTACCTCACTAAATGTTTGCAAATTCTGAGACCTTTGATAGAAACTCTTTTGCAGCTTTTTCCATCTTGGTCTGGCTATGATGTCTTCTAATTATGTACACTCCGGAAGGTATATATATTTTTTTCAGTAGTTTTCTTCCCTTCTAGAAATGCTACCACTTCGTGTTTCAGCGGTACCGCCTAGAGCATTACACTGTGACCTCAAATTGGCTGGCCTTAGGAACACTCTTCCTGTTTGGACTCTTATCCTTTTCTCGCTCGGTAGCCCTGTTCAGAGGTAGGTGACTGAGAATGTCTTAACCCATACTCATGAGGCAATTCATTTTGGGATTAGCTTGCTGTGTGATTGTTAGTCAGCTTAAGCTGGGAGGAGGACTTTTCTATAGGGTGGCCTGTGGACTTAAATATTAAGACTGGGATGTGACTCTTGTTTTTTAGGATTGAAGAGAAGATTGAGAATTCTTTTTAGTGTGATTACCTGTAATTTTTTTTCTCTATTCTTATTGATTTTTTTCCCCTTCAAAGGATGCCTTTTCCTTTTAAAGGGTGAATTAAGGAAGTTTTAAACTTAGGGTTAGATTTGGGGCTCAATTCTTGATATTATTCGTTTTCTTATAATCTTTAATTTCACATAGATTAAAATGGGACATTAACATGCACCGTAAGTAAATATCAGAACCTCATGTTACTCATCTTTGGCTTTCACAAAACTTTCAACATCTTTCCTTCTAGGGTATCACGGGCCCCTTGATTTGTATCCAGAATTTTACCGAATTGCTACAGACCCAACCATCCACACTGTCCCAGAAGGCCGACCTGTTAATGTGTGTGTAGGAAAAGAGTGGTATCGATTTCCTAGCAGCTTCCTTCTGCCCGATAAGTAAGTTGTCCTTTAATCCAAGTTTTAAATCAAGGAGTAAAGTAGCAAATCTATGCAGTGTCTTCTTAATTTTTCTTTTTTGGAGTATTTTTCACAATAAGTTTTTCTATTACCATCTCAGAGAGCTGTGGGACCTGCACTGGGCACCCATTGCCTGTGTTCAGTGGACCGAATGCTGGGTTTGGTTGTGCACCTTGCACTGCCCTTAACCACAGAGCTCTGGGGAATTATAAAACCACTTTGGGCCCTGGGATCCTGCCAGTGGCTCCTCCTAAAGATTCATATTTAAATTTCTATAGAGATCTGATATCAGTTCACTTCTAAAAGTGGTCTAGAAACTTGAGCAAGAAGAGTGTTTTTATAGAGAAGAAATGTTTGTCATCTAACAACACTGGAAGTTTTCCACCAATGATGGACACTAGGGGGAGCTGTGGTCAAGACATCTGTGCTACTTCCCTTTAAGCTATCTGCATTAGGTTCTGGGATTCCCTGTATTTGCTTAATTTGGATGGAGAAGAGACCCATTTGGGGAAAAGGGAAGTCAGGTTAAGAGTCATTTTCCTCCATTTGGGGACTGGTGGTGTTTTGTGCTTGGTAAAGATCCTGTTATCAGCCAATAATAATTAAATTAATACTTGTTTTTTAAATGTTAACTTTACCTTTACTTATAAAATAGTTTCATAACTAAAGATATTTTTGAAGATTACTTAGGAACAAGTCCTTCTCTCATAGTGAGTCTTTATATTCACTCTTTTCTCTATATACCCAATGAATTTTCTTTAATCTGAATAAGGGGTAATTGGCAATAAACTGGTGCTTCTCTGGTTGTTTGATGGTATGAATATTTAGTTATATAGTTATTGCTCAGAGTTGGTGAAATGGGTTAAGAGACCTCTAGTTTAACATTTCTCAATGAGTTTGGACTGAGTTGTGACCTCTGCCTCTATGCTCCCGGGTTGAGGTTTTAGTAGAAATTTTTTGCAAAATTTTTCACTTTTTTCCAAGTGAAATGAAATATTTTTTACATGATTTGGAGAGGGGTGGGGGCTTGTTTATTTCAAGAAAATTAGAAATATGAGCCCCCTGTGTTTTTCTTATTATACTTATTTGTGTTTCTGACAGTTGGCAACTTCAATTCATTCCATCAGAGTTCAGGGGTCAGTTACCAAAACCTTTTGCGGAGGGACCACTGGCCACCCGGCTTGTTCCTACTGACATGAACGACCAGAACCTAGAGGAGCCATCCAGATATGTAAGGGGAACATTCTCTTTTTACTACTTTGAAAAGCTGTTGGCAAACATATTAGAACATAGATAAAATGTGAATTTTTTATAAAGTGTTTTCTTTAGGGTGAGGGCTATAACAACTTCGTTGAGAAAAAATGAATAGGATCACTTATATTTTTCAAATTACCACCTTTATTTTCTATGTAAGACATATAATTCAATATATTTTCTGATGTGGGCTGGAAATATTTATATGTTGAATTTGAATCATCATTTGAAAATGCATTCTGAAACTCTTTCATTCCCTGATCCATTAAAATACTTGGTGGGGAACTTCTAAGTTATCAGTAGACCTTTTACCTAACTAGTAGTATATCCTAGTTTCAGCAAATGGACAGTCAGTGAGGGCTATTTTCACAGCCCATCCATGGAGCAATGTCTCTCAGGACTGCACTCTTCTACCCTCTCATTTTCACTCACTCTGAGATTCATAGTGGGTTTTATTTCAGTGTCTTTGAAAGATGGCACTATTTGGAATCAGTAAAATCCTTGATTGTGGAAAAGGTGAGAGCAATAAAGAAAGTACTCCTGGTTCCCATAGTCAGTAAAATATTATTTTATAGAATTATTAGAAAGTACATTTTTGGGCAAAGTACATTTAAATGTCAAATACATTTTGTTTAGGTTTTCTTATGTCATATACTTGAAATGTGAAACACCAGATCCCAGTTCCCTTCTGACGTACACTGGCAGCCACATCTGGCCTTTGTCTCCCGGCCTGGGGCTGTTTAGACTTCCAAAGAGATCCTCAGGGCTTATGAATGAGATTCTTGTTGTGTGAGCGTTAGCTATAAGCTATGAAAGTAAACATCATAAGGCACATACTGGGTCTGGCCGTCTGAGAAGGTAAGATATGTATGCCCCTAAGAGGCTTGTATTAGAATTTCCTTCTAATTTGAACCTCTGATTCCAGTAGCAATATCAAGTAGCCCTGGGCAGGGTAAACTTATTGGTCATTCTCATTTTAGCTGAGAGCAGGCTTTGATGTACAAGGGATCACATTACAATGGGGACACTGGATACTTAAGAGCGGGAGAATACACTATGATGGGGAAGATCATAAATTGAGTGATACTTTAGGAAGAGCTAGCATAGGGTAGTCAAAAAAGAGCATGGGTTTTGGAGTCAGTTCTGAGTTCAAATCCCAGTTCTGTTGCTTATCTTGATGATCTTTGGCAAATTAGTTAACTTTTTTGTTTAACTAATTTCAGTTTCTATCTGGAAAATGGCAGTAACGATGCCTACTTTGGAAGATGATTATGAAATCAGATATTATATCTCTCTGATATATTAAGCATAGTGTTTGATATGTTGATTTTTCCACAAATGTTCTTATTCAGTTAATGGCTTATGAGATGGATTAGATATAAAGGAACCACTTAAGAGGATTTAAAATATGTGTGAATTTATCTCTCCTTCCTTAGTTTTATTGTTCCCTAACCTGTTTTTTATTTCAGTCCATACGGACTCATCATTGCCTTTTAAGAGAATATGAAATGTTCACAAAGCTAGATTATATGTTCAACTATAAAAAAAATCTCAGTACACTTGAAATTAAGGAAATCATGCACATTATACTTACCTTTAAAAATATCAATAAAATTAGTTAATCTTAGTTAGACTGATCAAGAACAAATTACCAATATAAGAAGTTAAAGTGGAAATATCATTATAGAACCTACAGGCATTTGTGTAATATTAAAGAATATTATGGGACATGGTGGCCAACAGGATGGCAGAGAAGGCGAGAGTATGACGGAGTAAAGAAGTGAGTGGCGTGTGTGGACATGTGTGGTGTGTGTATGGGTGGGAGAAGGACAGATAGTTATCTCAGGAGTCCCATGGACTGGCAGATCGGGCTCACCTAGACGGGGGCCCTTGCTAACCCTGCGGACACTGTAGGCTGGCTTGGCTTTGGCACAGAAATCATTGCCTTTTCTATTCTAATGACTTTGCTTATCTGAATGACCACACTTATCTTCCTTCTAATACTAGCAACACTCTTCTTCTCTGAAATCTTTCCCAACTATAAGTCCATAATGAGTAATCCTTCTTAAGTCCCTTAAATATTTATCTGCACAGCTCATTTAGCCATTTAATTTTGTTGTCTTATGTTATTGAAATATTTCTGATATGTATGTAATATTTTCTCCCATCAGATAGTAACTGCTATAAATAGAATCACTACCTTATTTTTTTCATATTCACTACAGCATCTAGGATAGTACTGTATATCTACTAGTTAGCCTATACATCATTTCTTTTTAAAAAATAAAAAATATATATTTTATTTATTTTTTACAGAGAGGAAGGGAGGGGGATAGAGAGCTAGAAACATCGATGAGAGAGAAACATCTATTATCTGCCTCCTGCAAAACCCCTACCTGGGATGTGCCCACAACCAAGGCACATGCCCCTGACCGGAATCGAACCGGGGACCGCTCAATCCGCAGGCCTATGCTCTATCCACTGAGCCAAACTGGTTTTAGCATATACATAATTTCTTGCTTGAGGGATGAATGTTGATCATCGTTGGGCTAGTGATGTAAAGAAAGCTGACTATAAAATCTCTAGTGGCCTTGTGTATATTTCTTAGAATTTAGGCACTTGTTGTCTCTAGTTAGATCTTATTTCCATGTTCTCTGTCACCAGACACAGCTAAATTTGGCTAAGCGGCTCTATATTAGCAATACTCAGAAGGTGAAGTTTTTTAGAATACTTATAGGAATCACCAAAATGCTGATGATCAAAGCAGGGACAAACAACTCAGATAATCTGCTGAGTACTGTGGCTGTCTCTGTGCTCAGCCCCTTCCTGTTGAGAGTGTCCCTGCAGGGTTCTCTTTGAATTTTCCTGCGGGGGGGGGGGGGGGGGGGCGGGAGGGAAAGCCCTCCAGATCCAGTCACTCACCTTTGGCCTTTGAAAAGTAGAAGAGAGGTCTGATGGCTTATTGTGAATTCTACATGTACTATGATCAGGAATTCATTCGTTTTTAGTTAACTGTTTAAAAAGATATTTGTTGCCCTGGCTGGTGTGGCTCAGTTGGCTTGACATCATCCCGTGCACTGAAAGGTTGCTGGTTTGGTTCCCTGTCAAGACACATGCCCCTCCATACCCTGTAGGGGGCATGAAGGAAGCAGCCAATCGATGTTTCTCACATCGATTTTCTCTCTCTCCCTCTTCCTTCCTCTATCCCTTCCTAAAAAAAAAAAAAAAGAAAAATCAATAAAAAGATTTTGTTTTCCTCTGATAGTAAAGGTAATACACATTTATTTATAAAATAATAAAGCTGTCAATAAGAAAAGCAATCATCTATAATCTCATTAAATATATATTAAGCCATTAACACTTTGATGTTTTTTTCTTTTACTTTTTTCTCTTATATACATATATACCCTGTTTCCCTGAAAATAAGACAGTGTCTTACATTAATTTTTGCTCCCAAAAATGCGCTAGGTCTTATTTTCAGGGGATGTCTTATTTTTCCATGAAGAAGAATACAGTACACATTTATTGTTAAATGAAAATAAAGGAAATTTATTACCTGTATACAGTACGGTAGTACAGTAGTTGTCCACACAAACCAGACAAACTGTGAATCCTACAGTATCAAGAATTTACTCATTTATTCAATGACAATCATATCATCATCTTCTGGAACATCATCATAACAATCCAATTCCTGAATTTCCTGGTGAATTTCTTGTGACTCCATTTCTTTCAGAATCAGTGGACAAAATCTCTCATGTTTAGCAATAGCACTGTCTTTAAATGAATACTTCTGATCAAAGTAGCCTGCTTGCAGAGCATTTGCAATGCAACTGTCAGTGATTTTCTTTCATGAATTCTTCACCCAAGTCACAACTTCTTGCAGTTTAGGTTTCACAAAGTTTCCATGCTGATTTCCCTCTATTCTATTTTCAATGTAGTCATTAATTTCCATGCACAAATTGTCTTTGAATGGCTTGTTTATTGCAATATCGAGTCTGGAGATAGGCTGGCATTCCTGCGGGAATTATTATCCGATCTATTTTTCTTTCTTGAAGAAATGTCTTCATGTCTTTAGCGCAGTGAGTGCTGGCTGCATCCCAGGCTAGCAGACCTCTTTGGCTCCCTCGCATAACAAGCGGCAGCATTAAATCAACCCACTTCCTTATAATTGCTTGTGTGGCCCAGGCGTTTTCAGTTTCAAGAATAAAAATGCCCAAAACATGTTCAATCTTTTCCTTCTTGCCCTTAGAAATGATTAAAGGTGGGATTTTAGTGCCATCCAGACGAATTGCCAAAATACAGGAAACATGCACTTTCGTAAGCAGTGGATGGAATGTACACTAAGGAGGCACCCCACTGCTCAATTGTTGTTTGAGATGATTGGCCCATAAACACTGCAATTTCATCCATAGCAATCATGTTGGGAAGATTGTATTTAGAGAAGTCAGCATCATCAATAAAGGACTTGAATGCAAGTGCTCGCTTAATAACGAGTATCTTCCAACTTAAACAATGTTGTAGATCTTCTAAAAGACAGTTCACTTTGCTGAAGGAAATTATCCAGCCAGTGTTGTGATGCTTTGAAGTCTTTGGGGGCTATGTCTGTTGTGCCATTGCAAGGGCAAATTCTTGAGTCTGAGCCCTATTCACAACCAAAGCCTTTGCTCTCCTGTCAACAACCCATTCACAGATCAGGTCTTCCAGCTCGGAAAATAATGGTTGCCGACCTGATCCACACTTGTGCTTTTTAGCATTTTCCTTGTCCACTTGTTCAATGAGGTTACCATACTCTGCTCGCCATTTTCTGACCAATCGGATACTCAACATCTTCTCTTTGCAGAAAGCAGTAAGATTTTTTCCCCAAGAGTCTTCCACGATTCCTTTCTTATACTCCATGGAGTAGCTTTTTCTTTTTGTGCTCATTTCTAGAGGTAAAAAAAAAAAAGGAATTGGGGTATATTAAGGTAGGGGGAG